GAGTAATGATGCTGAAAATTCAGCTTTGCATCACAGGAGTAAATTACATTTTACACAATTTTTTACATTAAAAACTCTTATTTTAAATTGTAAAAATATTTCACAATATTACTTGTTTTTACTATATTTTTTGATCAAATAAATGCAGCCTTAATGAGCATTATTTTTTTTTCAAAAACATTAAAAATATCTTACCGACACTAAACTTTTTTTTTTAATAATTTTAAATAATATTAGAAATATTATACTTTTTTTTTTTTTTTTTTAATTTAAAATGTTACGTGATCATCGTTTTGTTTTAATCTTTTAAAACCCTACAGCTTTTTGTTTATTTGCGCTTATTATTTATTTTTTATAGTGAGATCTCAGATTCTGCGACTCCACTGTATATATTTCATACATTTATTGCAAAAAGATTTGACTTGCCATGCCGTTGATCTACATTAGCCATGAGCAAATCTTTGTGACTGTGCATTTGTTATCGAGGTCCAAATGAAAAACCTTCAAAATCATAAATATTTCCAACGGTGTGTGACCCGTGTGTCTCCAGGCATTTGGCTCCATAATTACTGTTGTCTTTGCCTTTATAAAGATGCTCATGGCAGGTGTGGCACAAAAGGTTCAGGCCTAATCCGTCTCTCCGTTTCCCCACACATATGAACAATTGATCCCAATAGTCATATAAAGTAGTAAACATTAATAACTTAACAATTCGCTGTCAGTTCTGAGCAGAATGGGCATTACAGTGGAATAACAGCACGGGCGGGCGGCACTTTTAATATCTCTGAGTGTGTCTTCTGCTTTCATACCAAAACCCACGGAATGCAATTACTGGATTTGGGAAGTGATCTCATTTTGCAGAGTGACATAAAGGAAACTCAAGGAAGCTCACTACATTTCATTTCTCTATTTCTCTCTCTCACACATTTCTTTTCTCTCTCCATCTCTCTCCAGGCTGGAGAATATTAAACCTGAAGAAAGTGATGTGGTAAGCCTTCCTCACTGGAGAATTTCATCTCTGATTGTTCTGTGTACCCTTTTTGTCCGACTGTCTTAAATGAAAACACAGCCACAGAAAAGGCTTGTTTTGATGCTTATTCTGATAAAAAAAAGTGTTAATTCTCTGTGCATCTGTTGCACATGAACATAAATGATACCTTAAATCATATTGCTATTTGAGGAGCAGTTTTTGAACTGTGCCTCTATTGAGAGTGGTTTGCTAATAATTACTTGACGTAATGTCTTAAGTTGCTCTGTTTCTTTCATCAAAAATAGCATATAAGTGGCCATTGGCATCAATAGTGAGATGCCAAAATCTTGCTGTAGTTACCAGTATGTCAACTATTAAAATGTCAGGAGTGTTTACGGCCGTATTTAACATTATAAAGGCTTCTGTATCATCATATTTGATACACACATTTCTCTAAACTATCAATATGATCAAAACTTTGCTGAAAAACCTGTACGTGATCTATTACATGCCTTCTATGTGATTGATACTGACTTCACTGATTTTTATATACTGTAAATGTAAGAATAACTTGTTAGTAATATTTCAAGATGAACACTTAGAGGACTGAAGCAACTTAGGTTTACCTGATTATCCACATGTAACTCATGTAAAAATCATGTTAAAATATGATACATCAGGCTTTTGAGGAGCATTTATTTGTACATCTCTCAGTCATCATTGTACTGCATTGCATGCAGAGCTTTGACCAATAAACTAAGCACTGAAATATCATTGTACTCAGACATGTTGTTAAGAGATATATCTCTCCTCCTGCGTTTTAACTCCTCTGCAAGATGACTTTGATTATTGGTCTATTAAAGCACATACATCTGTGTTTATTCACAGATCCTGCACTGATTTAAGAATCAACACACCAGCTACCTAATTCACATGTAGGGACAAATATTGCTGCATAACCTCAAATATTTGGTATATCGTTCCTACACACATAATTCAATCAAATGAAAACAAACAAGCAGGTAGCTAAATATTGACATCCAGATATTCAGCTTCATCATAGAGTTCAAGTGTGGGGCAGTGGATGTATTTGCTGGGATTTCTTTGTTGATAAATGCTGCCTACGTTTCATAATTGGTGTTATATAATGTGGTTGATTTGATTATTTGGACACAGAATTGTATCGAACGGTCATGTGTTGTTTTGGGTCAGCGGGTAGAGTGTGTTGTAACTTTTATTAGGTGTGATGGTACAGGTCATCAAGGCCTTTCTGACTATTTGGTTTCCCAGACTTGTGACACTCAGTATTTTAGACGGGTAATTTACTGCAATCAATATGAATGGATATGAGGTGGTGTTTACTGGATATGAATAACGCAAAACTCTTTTATATTATCAAAAACATTGGTAATTCTGGCTAAAATGTTGACATTTTATAAATAAAATTCTGCAACAAAACATAGTGTAGATAAAGAGTAAAAAAGGCAACTGTTCATTTGATTGTAAATTAATCTGTGTAGGTGGTTGCCAGGTATAATGTGCTCTAAAATTTCTGTGGTTGGATACGCAGGAATATTTTTGATTGAAATGATTTCCATCTTCCTTGTGGTGACCTGCTTTGGTCCTTAAATGCCCTGCCTGACAGAAGTGAATAAGCAGGAGACAAAAATAGCCATTGCTGCAAACTGAACAAATGCAGCTACGTGGAAGACTTGCTGTGCTACAACACCTCTACATCTCTTTTGTGTGTGTGTGTGTAAACTCAATGAATAATGGCAGAGTTTGTGGCATAAGAAACACAGTTGCTTAGTTCCGACACATATACAGTTGTAAAACTCAGACTTTTAACTATTGAGTAGCCAGTCCACCTAACTGGCTTATATCTACCTGTACTGGAGAGATTTTTTGTAAGCCATATTTTGTTGAAAAAATGTATGTCACCATTCAAAAGTTTGGGATCTTAAGATTTTGCATTTTTGAAAGAAATCTCTAATAAAATAACTGTTTTCTATTTTGAATATATTATAAAATGTAATTTATTCCTGTGATGCAAAGCTGAATTTTCAGCATCATTACTCCAGTCTTCAGTGTCACATGATCTTCAGAAATCATTCTAATATGCTGATTTTATCATTAATGTTGAAACAGTTGGGATGCTTAGTTTTTATTATTTATTTATTTATTATTATGCTTTTTTTGTGTGTGAAAACCATGGTTGATTTTTTTCAGTTACGTTGTTGAAAATAAAAGTTCAAAAGAATAGCATTTATTTGAAATTGTTTAATTAAAATTTAATGCATCCTTGCTGAATAAAAGTATTAATTTCCTTGAAAAAAGTCTTAATGACCCCAAACTTTTGAACAATAGTGTATTCTTAAATACATTTTTTAAATCAATTTCATGACATTTTTAACATTATATGCTTTTATTGTATTAAGCAATGCATTTTTAATGTCCAAAGAATGTAAGGGAGTCTAAGATAAGGACTTATTTGTTTAAAAAATGAAGAAGAAAAATGTTTTGGGAGAAAAAATTGATAAATTGAGACCTTATGCTTAGTTTTCGCTCTCTTCATAAATGTATTTGTATCACTCAGAGTCTTCCAATCGACTGTGTCCTTTATTGGAGCTAGGCCAGACTCATAAAAGAAAAAGCCAATGGCAGCTCGACCATGACAACCTGTGTCAACCTCTCTGATATGAGCAGAAGGCCAGGTGTCAGTCTTCTAACTCCGCCCAAAACCCACCAGCACACGCTGCCAAACGCCGCCCTGCTTTTTCATTGGGGCCAAAAACCTGAATCTGTGGGGCAATTTCAGAAGTAAGTTGCAAACCCCATGCCTAATCCCTCTGAGACAGGAATGGGTCCTCTCTCTATCCTCAAGGATATCTCCCTCCCCTGCCGTTCATCCCATCTCTTTCCTCATCTCGTAGGGATTAGAGCCCGGCTGCAGGCAGAGGGCCGCCACATCCCTTTGGCCTGCCAGAATATGAAAAGCTGGATAAGTGCTGGAGGAAATAAATCTTATTCTCACTTCCATCCTCTCCTCACAGTTAACGCGGCGAATAAGATCCGCTTCGTTATGTCCCTGTGCCGGGCGCTTATTGAATTTCTCTTGATCTTGATAGAGTGCTGATGTTAAAGTGAGAGGGGAAATGAAGTCGAATCTCGTGGTGAATTAGGGTTGTCTTGAGATCTTATTCTGCTGATTTTTTTATGCTCGTTGTGCATGATGTGACATGGTTCAGACCTCTTGTGTTGTTGTGCTGGTTAATATTGATTAAAAAGTTAAAATAGATTAATATGTTTGTTCCTACGCCCCGTTTCGCCCCAACTGCAGCTATTTGTGGTGCCTTTTGTGTCACCGCAAAGGTGCATTCTGATTAAAATACGTATGTTTCCCCCTAAAAGACATCTGCTGCCCGAGAACCATAACTCAGGCTGACACTAAAGAGGCGCTGTGTGTTTTGTCTGGACGGCGGTGGTATTATTTTAGTCTGCAGAGGAAAGAGACAGGAGTGGGGTCGGTGGCTGGGAGGCTTGTTTGCGCCGGCGCTACTCTTTGAGACGGCTGAATGTTGAAACATTGGGACTCGTCAGGCCGTGGGGATGGTTTACATTCCTGGTAAGTGTCCGTCGATCCTGGAATGTGCACATGGAGAGGAGCACATATGAACTGGTAGAAAACAAGCCCGCTTACAATAATACCCACCAAAGAGCTGGTCATGTCGGTGTGTGTTTAAAGTCTGTCTGACAGCCCGCCAGAGAGTCTTGTACTGTATGGAAAAATGAGGATAGGCTTTGTGGACAGAGAATTATGTATAGGCACTTGTGGTATGGATTAAAAGTACTATGTCATATTTGAATGCAGTGAAACGATTTTCAGCATTTTGTATTATATAATAGTTTTATTATTTAGGCTATAGTGTTTGAGCCACTGACACTGACAGTTTACCCCGGAAGAATGTAAAACCACTTTGCCCTATACAATTTTGGGAAAAATGCATTATTTAATAATTTCACATTTACATGTCATATTTTGCGTTAACAATATTTATTTAGGTACATTTAGTTGAGCTATTGTTTTCACAGTTTACCCCAAAGAACTGTAGTATAATTTGTTGGAAAAATGCAGAATTTAGTAAATCTTAATAATTTACATGGTTATAAATGTTTCTTACTTACTTTATTTATTTATTTAGGTTCATTTTTAATCATTTAATTATTTTTTAATTATTCGTTTTTAAAATAAATATGCTTTGGCATGTAATTAATTAATTAATTTATTTAGGTTGATTTTTACTTTAGATTTTAGGTTTGATTTTTTTTTTTATTCAATTATTTTTTTTATTAATGTTTTAAATGAATTTGCTTTGGCATGTAATTAATTAATTTATTTATTTAGGTTGATTTTTACTTTAGATTTTAGGTTTGATTTTTTTTTTTTTTCAATAATTTTTTTTATTAATGTTTTAAATGAATTTGCTTTGGCATGTAATTAATTGTACCAATATAACATTACTATTAGTACTATTAGTGGGAACATTTTTATAATTTTATAATTCCTTCGACAAATAAATTTGGTTTTAAAAATATTTTTTTATATTTAAAATATTAAAATATTTGTAGTTTATTATTATTAATTTTACAGGTACATGCGAATAAATAAATAATAGTAATAAAAAACAACAACAAAAAAACTTTTATGGCATCTCTCAAACACAAGCAGTTGTCTGCAAGTTTTTAAAATATATGAATACTACTGAATTACTGAAGTGGTTTAAACGACTTCTCTTTCCACTCTATAGATGTTCCACAGCAATCTCTTGAATTTCGTGCATATTTTTCTTCATAAGTCAGTGATTTTATTTTTGAACTGTACCACAAATGAGTCTGTCCGTCCAGGGATCACAGACACAAACGGAGAGTAATATCAGCAAGTGTGTGCTGAGGTTCTTACAGTAAATATAGTAATAACTGAGAATGTAGGTTTATACCCTGCAGAGATTTCACCTCTCTTAGAACACACTTGCATACACATGATTTTTCCATGTGGCAGTGCAACTGGTTTTCACATGGTTCCTGAGTCAACTTTAATGCAGATATTATTTAAACGCTTTCAAAAAAGTTATAATCGTATTTGTCCACCAGTGTTTTGCAGTTTAAATTATTCTGTCAAGATAATAACCCCCACTCCTCAAAAAAGAATAAAAAAACAATTATATTCCATAAAATGTATATATAATAAACTATAATGCATGGAGGACATTTCTGAGAAACATCTGTCCCACAGAAACAGTGCATTGAAAGTGACCTAATAGAATCATTTAACATCATTTCGGCTTGTGTACTGTAGTTAATGCAAAAGCAACCAAGTGTGAAAGCAAGTGTCTTTTAGCTGGTCTAATCACCTGGGTGGGTAAATTCTGATTTAATGCATTCAGGTAATCCCATTTCTCTCTCTTCCCCAGTGCAAGCGTCTGGAACAAGAGCTTCTTCGTGTGAAAGAGCCGTGCCATAATTCTGCAAACAGCAACCGCCACCTGGCCGCCCAAAACAATCGGGAACGAGCGAGCAAGGTAAAACACACAAACACACACACACACACACACCTCCCACGTGGGAAGCAGCCTCTGGAAATGAATGTCATGAACCCCCGGGTTAGCCTGCGCTAGCTTTCAGCGAATACACGTAACACGCCAGGGTGTTTGCCAACAACACCATTCTCGAATCCGACCTTCACCGTACGTGCAGTCCCGCATATGATGCCTCTTTATCAGCCCATCATTACGCTCTCCACTGTATCATTCATTAACTTCTATTTGCTCTCTCCTGCTCTTGTTTTCCAGTGATTTGCAGCGATAGACTGACGGCCCCGGGTGTCTGTTTGACAGGGTTTTAGGATGACACAGGCCGGTCAGTGTGCTGCGATGCCTCGCCACGGGTCTGTCAGGGAGACGCAGGGCAAACACGGGCCTATTTGATTTGCTGTATTTATCTGATGCAGCCAGAGCCCTTGAGTTTAATGCAGAGTGCTGTAAAAGGGCTGTCATTAGATAGAGCTGAGCAAACACGTGCTGAGAGAGACTGGGCCGAGCAGGGGGCTGGTTTCAGCAGGGGTGCTGAGTCAGGGCCATGCCCCGGACCTTTAACACACATTAACACACTTACAAACCTGCATCTTAAGTGAATATACGAACGCACTAACTGCATTTGATGTCATCATCCACTTAACCTCACCACCCACTGGGCTGATGATGTCAGAGCAGAGGTTGAGCTTGTGTTATTGTTAGCATGGTGACAGTTTTTATTTGATTTAATTTGATTACTTAGTGTGTGTATTTTTCCCTTCAACATACAAAGTTTTATTCTTCGCATATCTATATATCAGTGTAATGGCAGTGAGATATTTGCTGTTATTTAACTTTTTTGGTAATTGATTATGATAGAACCCTCTCAGAAAAGTAAATAAATTTATATTTATTACCTAGATTTATTATTATTAATGATATTAATAACAAAAAGTTAATAATATGTCTAGATAATTTAATAAATAATCAAAAGTAAGTTAAAAGAAATAATTTATTATTTAATTTTAATTGAATTATTATTATGAATAGCGATAATAATAATAACAACAAAAAGTTAATAATATAGCTAGATAATTAAATAATGATCAAAATAAATAACTTTTATTATTTAATTTTATTTTTATAAATTATGTATATTATTATTAAAAATTGTATTATTTATAAATAATAATAATAATTATTATTATTATTTATTTATAAAAACAAATGTTAATTCATTTTTTATTGTTGTTGTTGTTGTTTTTGTTTTTGTTAAATTGAGCCCTAATTTTTAAAAGTTTTTTTTTATTTTTAAAAGTTAATTTAAGAAAATGTATTTCAGATTCTTACTTCATGCGTTTTCTAGGCCAGTATTTACTTGTTTTGATGGTGTAGCCATATGATGAACACGAAGCAATGGTGAGGGGCAAAACCGATCATATAATGGTATTCCAGTTTCGTGACAGATTTTATGATTAACAAATAGATGCTGGGTTGTTTATATTTAGTCGTAATGATGTGGATTGTGGTCTGAAAATGCTGGGATGCAACTGTGCCACATGGTGACGATTACCGGTAGATATAAAATAATAATTATTTATAATCTGATAAAAAGGTCCAGTCTGACTCCAGGCAAAGCTTTCTGAAGATTAAAAATATATATATTTCACATTTAAGACGGTTCGGCTGATGGCTTATTAAGAAATATATTAAATTTTGTTATTAATGTAGCACATTTAACTTTTTTGGTAATTGATTATGATAGAACCCTCTCAGAAAAGTAAATAAATTTATATTTATTACCTAGATTTATTATTATTAATGATATTAATAACAAAAAGTTAATAATATGTCTAGATAATTTAATAAATAATCAAAAGTAAGTTAAAAGAAATAATTTATTATTTAATTTTAATTGAATTATTATTATGAATAGCGATAATAATAATAACAACAAAAAGTTAATAATATAGCTAGATAATTAAATAATGATCAAAATAAATAACTTTTATTATTTAATTGTAATTCATTTTTATTTTTTTATTTTATTATTATTTTTAATAATAAATTGTTAATATTATAAATTATTATTATTAATATTAATAAATAATAAATGGACTTCCACTTATCGATTGACATTTTACTTTAAAGAAAGCCGGAGGAAATCTGCAGGGTGAAAAAAAGAGTTGAGTTTAAGATGATGAGCAAAGACTTATCCATCTCAAATCTTTATATTTAGCTTTTAGCTCACACTAACTTTCAGGCATTTCATTTGGATGATTAATTTCAAGGTTTATAATCGCCACACTCTTTAGAGATAGAGAACGTTAACCAGTGTTCTTTTTGATCATGGAAATTATGATCAAAGATAGGCTAGTTGTTTTTTCTTTTCTCTTTTCAATTAAGATGTAAATTAGGGGCGTATTTAGCGTTTGTTGTCATTTCATCATCATTTTTCACCAGAACAGCAAAGCACCTGCAGAGTGTTTTTTTGGCTCGTGACTTTTGTCAGTTGATAGCACCCGGGGCTATTCCTTGTCTTATCTCTTCAGTCTGTCTCATTTTCACCTCAGCACATGTACAAGAACCTGTTCAACAACCATCTCAGAGTCGTCACAATACATTTATTGTGGGTCAGGTTTTGCTATCTTTGTGGCCAGCAGTTGCCCACAGTAAAAAAATGACCTACAATATAGTCAACATGGACTAAAAAAATGAAATCTAAAATGGCCAGAAGGTGTATAAATGGGTGTGCATGTGTTTTAAGGTGGAAAAATGATCAGACACACATTTAATCTATGTGCATCCTTACCCCTTGCATGTTCATTTTTTAGCTATTTAGCTAATTTGATTACATTTTTAGCACTTTTTAACACATTTAAAGGTTTTCTGCAGAATTTCTCAGATTTTTCCCTCCGAATTAGACACTGAAAATGCTAAATGATCTGCTGATTTCGTCTGGGCTCTTCATTTTAGAAAATATGTTAACAGGAAATCCTGACAATAATTTAAAATGTGTGTGCACTGCAGGTTTGTTGGGACCAATTTTATGGTAATTTCATAAGAAGAAATGTCCTGACACAAAACAAGATTCATTAAGGGACAAAAATGACCAAAAATTAATTGTTACAGTTAAGGTCCTTGCACACTGAGTCCGAAACTTTCGTATGCGTTTTTCCGTTTTTTTTCGTATTCGTCATCCTTTCCTATCAAAATGCTTGCTACGGATGCGAAAACGCAGAAAATCGAACCTGGTCCGAATTTTTTTATGACGGACGAAAGTTTCGGAGACAGTGTGTAAACGTGATTGACACTGAGGTCGGTCGTATTTATTTTTCAACGTGCGAACATTTCGGACGAAAAATTTGGACTCAGTGTGCAGAGACCTTTAGTCTGTAATGATTAGAATTTGCTTGCATTAACATAATACAGATTCATACTGTATATATTCTGGTTGGTTGGCTGGTTTTAGTTTGAAGAGCGTGAGTCCCTCTAAAAGAAATGCTGAGTGGGGGATGTGGACGAGAACCACCTGTGTTTGCTCTGCAGCTTTTCTCTGCGCATTGACCGCAGTGAAGTGATCTCACACGCCTGCTCCTGCCCCCATCACTCTCTAGGCCTAGACCTCACCTTTAACTCTGATTTCATCTGCTCTGAACCTCATGGACCATTAAATGTGGATAATGTTATCTTTATGGCCTCTTTGCTGTCAAGTTTGCCCAAAAATGCCCTTCTGTTTAGATAGAAATATTGAAATTCTGTGGAACACAAAAGTAGAAGCTGTAGCCCTCAAATCTCATTTGCACTTGTGTGCATTCAAACCTGCCAGATGTAATACCAGTGAATTAATCCCAACATCTTGTCGCGTTTGAATGTTTGGAATATTGCAAACTAGTTAGGCTATATGAACTGCTTTAATGATACTTTTATGCTTTTTTGACTTTGATAGTCCCTGTTCACTATATGCTTTTGTCCTATTAAAAAATGGGTGCCATTTGCTTGTTGTAACTGTTCCAAAATAGACGTATTCACTGAATCTAATAACATACATATTTAACTATTCAAAATGTGTTGTGGTCAATCTCAGATAACTTTATTTCATTTTTACAAGGTTTCTAAGTGGAAAATTGGTGCATTGTTCTCAGTCCTGTTGTCTTTTAAAAAGCAAGTTTAAAAGCATGTCAAGTAATTCCTTTGTTTTCCTCTTAAGAAAGTATTTATTTTAAAGAAATGGTTGGTTACACGTTTAAATAATTGATATTTGTGACTAAAAATCATTATATTTATTTATGAAAGCTGTATTTTCAATAAAACGCAAAGCCATTTTTTTTTTCATTTTAAGGTACACCCAAACCTCAATTATTAATTAAACAATTGGATAAATATTGGAATTATTTTGCAGAATTTTTTTTTTGTGTTCCACAGAATAAAGAAATTCAAAGTTTTGGAATGATGTTTGGGTGAATAAATTATGATAATTTACATTTCTGGGTGAACTTTTGTCTGATTCTCTGTTTTATGTCTGAGCTGTAGCCTAACGGCACACATGCTGTAGACACATTGAGCACATTGGTGCTCATGCATTCGAATCTGACCTGAGTGCATCATGTCCTGGTTTCATTCCCCCTCAAATAAATGATAGTGGGTCCTCATAAAGATTGCATAAACCATCTCTTTCAAAGCATGCAGTTCTTTGCAGATATTTTAGTTGTAGAAGGTGTGGGTCTTATAGGTGTTTTAAAGCCAGGGGCATCAGCTCTGCTGTTTTGTGCTGACTGTGTTACGAGAGAGATTTATGAGTGTGTTCTGCGGAGGAGGGCTCTTTGTTGTCAGACAAGGATGCGAGTCTTTTGTCTCTGTCCTGGCGAACTGAATTTGTTTGATCATACATCATCAGGTGACACAGGCTTGGAAATAGAGCAGGGTGCATGTGTTTCACAGGATTAGTTCTTTATAATGAAACGCCTGTTGAGTCCCGTTCACAATTTTATTTTACATGTGAAACACAT